AAGGGCATCAATAGACAACCGATCAATCTCAAGATCTTCTCGCCCCATGTGCTCAACCTCACCCTCGTCGATCTACCTGGGCTGACGAAAGTGCCCATTGGCGACCAACCGTCCGATATTGAAAAACAAACACGCACCTTGATTCTGGAATATATCGCCAAACCGAACAGCATTATCCTTGCGGTCTCTCCGGCCAATGTCGACCTGGTCAATTCCGAGGCGCTGAAGCTTGCCCGCCAGGTGGATGCCATGGGCCGGAGGACGATTGGCGTGCTATCAAAGCTGGATCTTATGGACCATGGCACCAATGCGATGGACATCCTATCTGGCCGTGTGTATCCCCTAAAACTTGGATTTATCGGTGTTGTCAACCGGTCCCAGCAGGATATTCAGTCTGGAAAGTCGCTTTCCGATGCATTGCGGGCAGAGTCTGAGTTCTTCCGGCATCACCCAGCTTACAGGAATATGGCCAACCGTTGCGGTACACACTTTTTGGCCAAGAGCCTGAACACAACCCTGATGTCTCACATTCGAGACCGGCTTCCGGATATCAAGGCTCGGCTTAACACCCTGATGGGTCAAACTCAGCAAGAGTTGGCCAGCTATGGAAACAAACAGTTCAGTGGTGAAGAACACCGGGGGTCATTGATTCTTCAGCAGATGACCAGATTCGCCGCCTCATTCATCTCATCTATCGACGGAACTTCATCGGAGATCTCTACCAAAGAGCTATGCGGTGGAGCAAGAATTTACTATATTTTCAACTCTGTTTTTGGAAACTCACTGGAAACAATTGATCCCACTCATAACCTGACTACCTCCGACATCCGAACGGCCATCCGAAACTCGACAGGTCCTCGCCCGAGTCTATTTGTTCCGGAGTTAGCCTTTGATTTGCTGGTGAAACCACAGATCAAACTCCTCGAATCGCCCAGTCAGCGATGCGTGGAGTTGGTCTATGAGGAGCTTATCAAGATCTGCCACACATGCGGCAATCAAGAACTCCTGCGTTTCCCTCGTCTCCAAGGAAAGCTAATTGAGGTCGTATCTGACCTTCTTCGTGAGCGCCTGGGCCCCTGCTCGACTTACGTAGAATCTTTGATCTCAATCCAAAGAGCTTACATCAACACCAACCATCCGAACTTCCTTGGCGCCGCAGCTGCCATGTCTTCAATCATGCAGAACAAGCAGGACGAAGAAAGAAAAGCCGTGCTAGCAGAGGGAAAAAAGAAAGCGCGAGAAGCGACGTCAAAAGGAATTGGGGGCTCCCAATGGAACTACGGGAGGTCCCGATGAAGAAGAATATTCTGACAAGCAAAACCTTCCCATTCGAAACCACTCCTCCAAGGGATCGCGGAGTATGTCTCCCCACGTTGGCCGCACAGGCGAGAATGGCATTACTGCTACTCTGAATGGCGCTCAATCAAACCATGCTGCCTTCGGTGGTGCCTCAAACACTGCCCGGGACTCGTTCCTGAACTACTTCTTCGGCAAGGAAGGTACTCACAACATGGCCATGCCGCCGCCAGGCATGAACACCAACCGGCAAGGGCCACATGCTGGTGAGCCCAGCATTAGCCAGAGTATTCGGCGTGCCGAGGTTCGGGCTCCCATTATGCCGACTGAAGAGTACACTGCACCACCGGAGTACGGCGGTGACATGTCCGTCTTCGTAAGTACCACTCACTGCGTGGGCGTTATTAAGCTTCACACGCATCTGACTGACCTCAATTCTTATAGCCCCATGAGAACACAGAGCCTGCACTTACGGACCGTGAGATGCTTGAAACCGAGCTCATTCGCCGTCTCATCTCATCATACTTTAACATCGTCCGAGAGACCATTGCAGATCAGGTTCCCAAGGCTGTCATGCACCTCCTTGTCAATCACTGCAAGGACGTGGTGCAAAACAGACTCGTGAGCGAACTTTATAAAGAAGATCTTTTCGGCGAGCTTCTCTACGAGGATGATGGCATCAAGGCTGAGAGAGAGAAGTGTGAGCGGCTATTGGAAACATACAAGGAAGCTGCCAAGATTGTGGGCGAGGTGTTATAGATGGTTCGCTCTGTTTTTATTATTTTGGTCTGGCTCGGCGGTTAGCCTGGGTGATCTTTGATTCTGCGTCATGCTTGACGCCTTTCTACTCCAATGGGGGATGGACGATGTTGCTTCTATCTTCAATTTATGTACAACTATTGCGGCCTGCACATGATATCGATATATCTTTCCTTCTATTCGTGACGTCTGTCGCCTCTTGGGAGTATGATTAGCTGTAAGATCGAGACATTACATGCAAAATGAAGTTTGTCTGGATATATATACATTGGTCAACCCCCCATTCTAATATGTAATGATATCACTGAGCTTTTTTGGCAACGCTTCGTAAACGCGCTCCCTCAAAGCCATATAGACCACCCCCAACAAACACCAGAGTCGCACCGACCAAGACACCCCCGGCCAAATCATTCCCGAAGAGATAGATCGACAGGAGCAGGGAAACCAACTTGCGAACGTTCAAGAAAATAGTAACAGTCAACGATGACGACTTGGCCGACAAAAGATGAACTCCCCGGATACACAGGTACTGCGTCAGAGCATTCATCGCCAGATAAGCCACCTGGACCGGCAGATGCGCCAGGAAAGCCTCGACAGCCTCAATCTGGCAGATCCGCCCCAGCACCGAGAAAGTAGTGCTCCCAGCCGCACTCTTCGACACCCACAGCCCCGAATCCAAATGCGACAGCAAAGAAGGCGACGAGGCCACCACCCGCCACTGACCCAGCAATTGCGGACAACTCGTGAAGAAAAGGGGCAGAGAAAGCGCGTGCGAGTAGAAAAGCGCCTCTTTCCAATGATCCCTGCCGTAAGTCGCGTACAGCCGGTCGGCATAGATCCCCTGGAATGCAGAGAGGACCATCGCGAGCGCGAGGATCGTGAACCCAGTCACTGTCGTCATTGTGTCTGCTGTATCTGAGTCCGCGTGGATAGATATGCCTTTGGATTGCGCGTCCGCCAGGGCCGCAGCCGCAACGCCTATTGTCAGCATACCTACCGAAGCGATCTGGCCGCGGGAATACCGTCTGCCGTTGTATATGTAGCCGATTACCATTGAGGCGACGGGGCCTGCGGATCGGAGGATTATGTGTAGCGGGACGGAGATCTTGTATGCAAATGCCCAGTTGTTGAGTAGGTTCACGCTCACGAAGTATGCGGTGTATACCACCCATGATCGGAGTGGGATCGCGCGTGGGTTCAGGAATAGGGCTCGAGGTCCGGCTGAGGGGGATAGGAAGCTTGGGATGGTGAAGAGGGCGCAGATGGCGAATTGGGCGAATGTTATCAAGGGACCTATGCGAGAAACGATTTGGTTAGGATATTCGAGGTGGTTGTTTTCATTGGTTCTGGTTGTTGGTGTTTACCGGCAGTAGGCTGTTCTCTAGAGAAGATATGTGATCAGCGTTCTGTTTGGATTCCAAATGCCTGGCTTGTTGACTTACTTGATGATCGCCTCTAGTGCAAAGACCTATACACAAAATCAGTCCTGTTTTATCCCCATGGCAGCGTTGGATGTTCTCTTGACACCCACATTGGCACAGCAGCCCCCGAAGATAAGGGAGACCATTAGAACCATGCTTGTCCAGCTAGGAACCGCCGCATGGGCGGCGGCAGCAACGAGGCCCGGGGCATCTTTCTTCAATTGAGCATAGTCAAGCTTATCCTCGGATTTTCGAGATCGAGGCGGGGTCGAAGCGAGGTTCCCGTTTTCATATGTGTTCACAACAGAGACTCGAGAGCGATTGATCAGGTAGGTGTCATCGTGTCCTCGTTTCGAGGGTTCATGATCATTAAGCATTCTATTGGAGTGTAAGTGATCATTGAATCATTGAAATGAATTGCGAGAATGAATTTACCTAGGAGATTCGAAGGGCTATGAAAAGCGAGGTGGTTAAAAGAAAGAAAGCTGGGGCTGAAGATAAGAGAGTGGATCACGAGATAGGCGGAGTACACTGGCCCCTCGCCGAAGCGATATGCAGTATACGACAACTGTATATCCGAGTATGTACATATAGAATCGTCCACTTCCTGACACTAACTTAGAGCCTCGTCACGGCCTATCGTGGCCAATTGCCGCTTCCATTGTTAGGCTGCCCTCATAGCGCGCGACTGCGAAACCGCTGTGACGCCTCGGCGATGTCTGGTTCACCTTTGTCACCTTCGTTTGAGCCTCCTAGCAGGCTCGACACATTTTTAAACGCGTTCCCAACTTTCCTTCTTAATTCTATCCTCGTAGCCTTGGACATTCTATCAACATATGGGCAACTGTCTCCTACGCGCCGCACTCGCACCGATCGTGCTCGCTATATCCAATCTCCTTCCGGTAGCTAAATAGCCAGTTATGGCCCGTACATAGCTATGTTAGCAGGTACGCTCGGTTCCTAGGTAAATTCCCGTATAGTCTCCTGGTGTACCGCGCCGGTAGGTCGCCGTCAACTTTCCGTCAGTGAGCGCCTTTGGTGCTTGACTTGCCCCCACTAAGCATAAATATTTCCGCGGACAAATACGTTCTCCCTCGATAGCAGCGGCCGGGGGATGGGATTTACCCGGTCACGCAGCCCCTTTAACCAATCGGTCTACAGCGCCGTTCCCTAGGATTTTATAGTGTCCTAGCATCTATTAGAGGCGGAGCCTAACGTTCGCTCCCTAGACCTTAGCGGCTGCTTAGAGGATCGCATGGATGATACGCTGTCCCGATCGATTTTTTGACGTTCTAGATTTCTTATAAGGCCGATCTACTGTTATATAAGATTATTGCTATTGATTGTACTCTATCCTCGACAGTCGTGCGCTAATAGGCCAGCTTGAACACTATGTCGACCGTATAGAAGATGCTAATAAGCTCTATAACGTAGACCGACTAACGTTCCATCGGGCCTATCTAGACCTATTAAGATTCTATTAATGTGGGAGCTTGAAATAATAGTTTATAGATTACATGTCTGCTATGATGACTCAAGTTTTGCCAAGTAACGTTCTATCGGGGTTAGTATAATTCATATATATGTAGATTGTAAAGTGCTCCACGTACTTGCAGCCATCCATCTCATGCCCAGGTAGCCCAGTAGGTCTTTCAAGGGCTGGATTAACGACTCCGGATCGACACACCCAGATACCCTGGCATCGCCAAGACACACCATAGCGGCCTTGTATATGCAATGGGGGAGAAACACGGACAAGGTCATCATCTCAACCGGGGGAGAGATTTCCGCGCCGCGTGCAATCTCGTGGGCGAGGGACTTAAGAATATTAATTGATGTGCGGATACAATACTCATTGTCGGGGATATTCATATGAGATCCAACCTCGAGGGTTTCGAGCATAGCACTAGTTAGTAGCGTTGGGATTAGTCAATTTTTTCTGAACTTGTTTGTGCTAGGCAGCCTTACCTTCTACATAGTGCTAATGCGCTATCCGACAGAGGATGCGGCGGATCCGAATCACCGCTTTGGAAGGTCACCAGAAACGAGGTGAGGGATTTGAGGATCTGGACCGCCTCGACGCTATCAAAAAGGGGATTCGATTGGGTCGTATGGATATGAACGAGCACCCGGTCTAAGAGCTGGGATGCGTAGGCTAACCTAGTGAATGAATCCACTTCTACCTTCGCCCAATCTTTAGATTCCTATTTTCGGAGTTATTTTCAGTTGAGGTTGAGTGGGAGCTTAGCAGCAGCCAGTCAATCAGTCACTTACCGCGGCTATAGATCGATCACTGTAAGTATTGGGTGCTTGGCTATTCTCTAGCGAGACATATCTACCATAGGCTCTTGCTTTAGTACGGATATCATTTGGTGTGCATCCCTAGGGGCCAGATCTGACCTATCAGTGATGACAATGCCCCGCCAAGTCTGTCGTGCCTCCTCGACTTTCCATGGGTCCCGGAAGCGTAGGTTCTTGCAGGTGGCGTTGATCCCTAAGGAGGCTGCGGCTCGCATATTGGCTGCGGTAGAGATATATGCGGAGGGATATATGGCATGGCCAATCTCGAAGACCGTTAGGAGAAGTCGGCTCTGCAGCATTTCCAACGAATTCGTCCCCATCGCCTCAAGAAGAGCTACAAAGCTCTTAAGAGAAGCATATATCGATCGGGTCGAGAGAGGAAGTTCTCCCCCATAGGCCCCTTGCAAACGAGGGCTATACAGAGGGTTAATAGGCTTAAATCAGATGGTGCGCTGGCTGCCTGGACATATGCGTTTGATAACCGGATATTATAAGAGGGCTCCGATATAATAGGGAACCAGGTATGTATAGTCCGGAAATAAAAGGCTGCGGCCGCCTGTACCTGCAGTCTATCGCCTACATTTGATGAGACCTGAACTTCAAGGGTATGACACACGTTGGAAGGGGTCAAGTCGGCCCAGTCCGGCACTGGCAGCAGACGAGGAACTTCAGCTGGAAGGAGATAGTCACAATGCTTATTCAATCTAAATTGATCAGTATACACGCCTATAATTCTAGCGGCTACGCACCTTTTACAAAGGGTACAGCAGGGAAGGACCTTGTCACATCTCCGTTTCTGTCTCCGGCAGCGAACGCAGGCCTGATCGGCCAACATAGTACGCGGGTGCGGGTGCGGGTGCGGGGTGTGAAGGTTACCTACGTAGCCACTTAAATAACCACCTGGGCAGGCGCGGAGATATATGGCATTTCCAAGGTTCTGCACCAAGCCTAATTTGGTTTAGATCCCGCACCCGCATCCGCACCCGCATCTCCACGACATGATCGTACCTACCTAGGTACCTAGCTAGGTACATGTCTGCCTAGGTATATAGAAGCACGTTGATCTTTATATATTACCAGGTCTCCATAATATGCTATAAAGGCAGCTCTTCCAGTATCTCCAGTAGGTTTCCTTTTCACAGCCATGGATGCGATTCGCAACGTTACCATTGCAGGGGTATGTCAAATAATCATTCTCTTGTCGTACTCAGGACTTATAGACTATGTTTAGGCTTCCGGAGCCCTGGGATCTCCTATCCTTAACGCACTCCTCGAAAGCAAACTCTTCAATGTGACTGTTTTGGCACGCCAGTCGTCTCAAGCACAATTCCCGGCGTCTGTCAGTGTCAAGGTAGTCCGCGTGGATTACAACTCGGTCCTAGACTTAACAGCCGCTCTCACCGGCCAGGATACCGTCATCTCGGTCCTAACAACCAGTGCCATGGAGACACAGATCCCACTGATTAAGGCCGCAGTGAAAGCTGGAGTGAGGAGGTTCCTTCCCTCCGAGTTCTGTGCCAATATTGGCAATCCTAAGGCTGCTAGTTTGCCTGTCTACCACTCGAAGCTTGCGATACATAAGGTCATCCAACAACAGGCTCGGGACCATCCTTATTTCACATATACTTTAATTCGCAACGGGCCTTTCCTCGACTGGAGTATGGCCTATGGTTTCTTTTTTAGCCTCGATGGAGGATCGACTCCCTTTTACGACGGCGGGGACCGTCCGTTTAGTACAACTACTTTAGCCACGGTTGGCCGGGCTGTGGTAGAGGTCCTACGTCACTCGGACGAAACACGAAATAGAGCGGTCTTTGTTCAAGACCTTGTCACCACCCAGCGAAAGATGCTACCCATTGCCCAGAAGGTTGCACCGGATCGCAAATGGACCCCGAGCGAGGTGAGTACCGCCGACATGGAGACCATGGCGGGGGACAAATACGCCAATGGGATGATCGATATGGCAGCCTCGATGGGATTCTTTTGTCGCTCAGTTTTTGGGGAGGGGTACGGGGGAGAGTTCCAGGAGGCGGACAATGAACTACTCGGCATACCGTTGAAGACGGATGCTGATCTGGAGGAGTTAATCCGGGGAGTACTTTCCGGACAGAAATCTACTTAGTGAGCCTGACTCTGAGCGCCCTCATAAAAGTGGCAGCTAAGATAGGAAAGCCCCACCTGGCAGAGGAAATCAAATACATATAGCTACCATATATAACTACATATATGCCCACAGAGTACACAGTATACATAGTAGTCTTCACATTAAATAATTCACTATGATACACATCTCAATCGACAATATCATCGTCACTGAGAATCAATTTCTCTTCCTGTTCAGGCAGTCGAGCTCCAACCCCATTACTACTGGGTTTTTTCGGACGCGACAGCACCGGAGACTCCTCCATGTCGTCCATTTCATCATTACGAAGATTATCGTTGGCCCGAATCCTGCTGATCTTATCTAATTGCCAACAATCTGGGTCCTGATGCCGGATTGTAGCCATATAAGGCAATTGATGAAGTAGTAGATCATGCCGAGGTATCATTGTGATCACATTCGAAGTGTGATCTTTCTGCTCTGAGTTGATCGATGCTGACCTTCCCACCTGGAGATTCTTCCAGGAACTGACGCCCGTGAGCTCAGAGCCAGTTTGAGAAATATGCTGGCCAAAAGGATCGAGTGATCGGTTCACCCATGAGTCGATCAGTCCGTCGATTTCCTCGGCCTCTCTCCACAACCGCAGAGATGCCGGATAAAACATCTTGAACGCATCACCCGCGCGGCTTCGTCCAGTTCCAGACCCAATACGTCTCTTGACCGGGTATGGAAGGGCAAAAAGAAGACCACGCGCCGCAACTTGAAAGCTCATTTCCTCCTGCCGGAGCACATCGACACCGCTGCCGAAAGAGGTAGTTCCAGTTCCTATCCCGGCCCGTGCGCCTTGCCCTGATCGGTGGTCGGCACTGAGAATATCGCTATCGGAGAGTGCGTCAATGCAGTCGTTGAAACAGTCGGCGAAATTATCCCCATCACAGGATGGGATGTAGTTCTCATGGAGAGCACTAATGAATGTTGATATGTCCGTCCCGGTCTCGTCGACCAGATCATTGACCAATACCTGCGAAGCTTTTGGTCGGGCATAGTGGCGCAGATAATCTGGTGGCGGGGGAAGGATCTCAACATCCCCCTCTATTAGACTCGGGTCCATACGTTTGTTGTACACGATCTTTCCAACAGCGTGGAACATGCCCAGACTCGCCTCTCTCTGGGTTATCATCTTGAGAGACTCTTTCTCCATCGCCGTCAAAGCAACCTCGCCTCGAGCTTTCTTTGTTTTGGCCACACTACCTCCCCATCTCCCCGTATCGTCCCCCTTGAGACAGAGGAACTCGAGAGAGGATATTGCACTGCGGATATCGCCGATTTCAGATATACTGTCTATAACACCCGGTCCAGGTATCTGGACACGTCGGGAGTTCCGTGCCTCTCTGTCCAAAATAGACCGCAAAGCCTTGTGCATAAAAGTGGGTGCAATGCTGTTGAAATCCAAGATTGTTGTTCCGGGGTGATTGTAGATCATAGGCCCCAGTAACCGGTGAACTGTCAGGTTATCCGAGATTGAGGACGCAGATCCCAACAAAGTCTCCGACACGATGACCACGATGGGCGGGTGATTCAATCCAGAACTGCCCCGGGTATTATCATTCATAGAAGCAGCCAAATATCGTTGAAGAGACGTCCGAAATGCCGTAAGGGCGGAGGACGCCCGGCCGAGCACAGTTGGAAACTCCTCAATAAGAAGTATCCTCTGGCCCCGAGATCTCTTATCTTTCTTGGGATCGAGCTCGCTGGTATTTTCGAGATCAAGCCCTCCAAATTTATCGCCGCGTCCAAGAAACTCTTCAAAGTGCGCGCTCACAGACTGATAATCGCGAGCTCCAAATTCCGAAACAGGAGGATTCTTCCACTCGACAATGTCATAACCAAGTGACTCGGAGAGCAGGGACACAGTGGTCGTCTTCCCACTGCCTGCCGGACCCCGTAGGACGAGTAACCTCTTGCATATTATCAGAACTGCATTCAAACCAAACCCCGAATTATCCTCAGCTGATCAAAAACTCACCTCAGAACGCCTCCCAGCAAAAGCATCTTCCAGCCAGTGCTGCACATCTGAGACCTTTTTCTTATGAACGGCCAATTCGTCTAGGTTGGCCGGAGCGAACCGCTGAGCCCATGGTCGACGGTCCAGTTCGCCAGCCGGCTGCGCAGCTAATTGCTCCTTCGCAGTACCATTCCCTGAGTCCGTAGGCAGAAGGAACCGTTTCGTCGTCTTCCGCGGCGGTTTAACAGGGGCCTTTGGCCTTGATTCTGGCTTTGGCGCGGGCTGACGCGTCTGGCTGGAGCTCATGGCCGCCAGACCCGTTGCCGCCCGCTCATTGGCTAGATGCTGTGTGAAGATTTCATCGTAGGAGTCGTAATCATCCTCAATCAGGTCCACGTCGACAGTCTCCCTGACCGGCGGGAGTGACTGCTTCGCGCTCTTCTGGGGTGGGGGTGCCCATCGTTGTCCCTCTGTTGCGGGCTGAAAGAAGCTGTGCAAGGGCTTGGATTTTGATTCTGGGTTTAGTGACGATTTATTCTTTTTGTTTGGAGAAGGTGAGGACGAGGGGAGCCGGGTTGATGGTGTTGTGCCGTGGGAGGGTTTTGGGCGCGAGGAGAGAGCAAAGGGTTCTGTAGGTTCGATAGGACTAGAGCTATCTGAGATGACGACGGGGGCTTTTCGTGATTTTATTTTCGGCTCTTGCTTTGAATCCTTGGATCTGCGTTGTCTTTTAAGAGGACGACCGTCCATGGTGAGTTGGATTAAAAACCTGGAGAAGGTTGAGATACCGCGGTCCGATAAGCCTATGACGCCAAGCGGTGGGCCATTTGCCGGTATACTACACCATACATTAGTTATGTAGTTAAACAAAATACTATGTACAGATATAGATGTAATGATTAAATTATATGTTAAAACTAGAATAAATCACACAAGACAAATCGCATGACGGGTATATTGACCAGAATCCGAGTCGGCAGAGCCAAAGAAACCAAAATCCCCCTAATAACCAAAAAGAAAAGAAAAAAACCTATATAGAGTCAAGTACTCCCTATACACCTCCAAATACATCATAGTAATAATCTTCATCCAAGCCATCTCTCGCAGGGACTTGGGGAGCCTCACCTGCGAAAGTGGCATCGTCAAACCGCACATTGAGCAAGCGGATTTTCAGCCCATAATTGCTGACCAGGTCAATCAGCTTGCTTGTCTCGGCCGTGATGGGTTGCTGGTTGAGGAGCATCAGCAGACCATCCAGCCACTCGGACGCAATGCTGTGCGAGGAGGGCCGCAGCGTGAGCAGGACTACCTCCTTTTGGGTGGTCCTGCTGCTGGACCGCGCATGACTGTGGTTTTTTCCGTGCCCGGTGGCTGCCGAGGTTGCGTATCCGTGAATGGTGATTTTGGTTGCGGGTTGACGGGGTGTAGTCTTCACGGTGGATGTGGATGAATAGTCTGGGTTGGTGGAGACGTTTGAGACCACGGATGATACGATTGAGAGATCGACTGTTGAGTGCACGGCCCGGTGTTAGCAACAAATACAAGATAATATATGTGGGTGTGTGTGGTTATAGGTAAGCACTCGGCGACACTCACTTTTATCTGGTAGGGTATCCAACTCTGGAGCTCGGTCGTCCATAAGGTCAAATTGACCGAAATGCAGATATCGTCGGTTGTGAGAAAGCTGGGCATATTGATATGTGGCCGTCGACTTCTGCACCGCCCCCGACTCCGACTTGGAATGGGATTCCAAAGCGAACCAGCTGCCTTGAAGCAAAGATCGGATTCGTTGCTCCTTGACGAACTGGAGAGCCTCATGGTGAAGTTCCTCGCGCACCTGTCGCAAGTGCTGGCCCCATGCATCCTCGTACGTAAGTTCAAGGAGTTCCATCTGCAGCCCGCGCAATCGGTGGTATTCGAAATCGGCCAGCTCCTCTTCAACATCCTGGACATCCTTGATCCGAGCAGCTCCGCCAACCACCGACTCAATGAGGATACGCACGAGCTCAATAAGCTTGTCCAAGTCCTCTTCCTCGGCGGCAGTCGCCTTCCATAGGCGGAAGAAAGCCTGTAAGCCGGCAACATGTAGTCGCGTCCAATGTAACAGCAACGGCTGGAACAGTTTATCAAAGCCCGCACGGGACTCTGAAATGAGATATGTTTTGGTGTCATCCATGTCGGACTTTTCAACCTCGAAATGCTCATATAAGATGGATGTGACGGCCAACGATGCCCGAGCGATCGGACACCGTTGTCGCGATGGCTTTGTAGAGTGCTCCAAGAGCATATTCTGAAACTCATCCCCATGGCTGCGAACATAGTCCGCCAGATCCATCATACCCAGGAAACCGACCTCGTAGAATTCCCCCGCTGGACTCTCCGTCTCAAACCCAAGCCGCCTCCACTTTTCCGGATGGTGTCGTCTAGAGCGCCGTGTATCCTCACCGTTCTCGTTAGCCTCGTGGGTATTCTTCTCCGGGTTACTGGCAAGATAAATCCCCTTCAGCGCGCGGCGATGTTCAGGCTTCTCCTGATTGACGGGGATATCTCTCCACTTGCGGAGCAGGACCTTGGTGAGTGACTGGAATTCCAGCAGTGGATGCGCCAGGTCCTGAAGGGCGGAATCCTGCATAAGCACGTATACCGCTCTGATAACGCCCAGATCCTGTAACTTTTGAATAAATTTGGGCCACTCTGTCTCGGGATCGTGAGTGATGGAGTCGCGCATAAGCGAGTTGATCAATTGGAGCGCATTGGCACACAGTGCATGGTCCGCGGAGGATAATCGGCTGACTAGCATCTCCAGGAACTGGGGATATATGGCCATTGCAGGCTTCAGGGCGCGGAAACCGAAGTTGTTGATCTGGGATGCGCGGTTCCCCGCGTACGGGTGGGAAACAATGGAGACGAGGATGGACATAGCGCCCCGGAGGATATTGACTAGGGGATGAGTGACGATCAGCTCGACAATCTAGAAGAACAGTCGCATTAGTATCTGACATGGCCGCGGAAGGAGGACAGAAACACAGGTAGAAGAGTACTGAAATGGCTTCAAGGATAACTCACGCGCTCAACCAATTCCTGATCAACACACTCCCACCCCTTGTCGACATCGAGCAGTCTCGAGAAACTGGTCAAGCTATATGCCAGGGTATTCCCACTTGCGTGAAGGGTTAGGTAGCGTAATCGAACCAGGCCGCCCTCGGCGATGAAGATGTCGGCGAAGGACGGGTCTCCGATGTTGCTCTGGAGCTTGAAGACGGCCATTTTTCGCACGGCATCTTCATCGCTACCTAGGCGCTCGACCAATTCGGCGACATTGACAGTTTCCATATCTTTGAAGCCAGTAAGAAGAAAGACCTCGGGGAAAGACCTCGGGGGAAGTTCAAGAAGAGAAAGAGATCAGGGGGGGGTGGTTTTGCTGTGGGGCAATTGTAATTTAAACAGTTGATCTTGGTGATGTCGATCCTTTTTTAAGCATGAATAGATTAAATACTTCAGATACTTCCTTTGAAGAAGTTGAGGATTGTAGGATTATTGAAAACAAGAACTACGGAGTAAATAGTGTTGGATTCATCTCCCGAGGTCAACCCCCTACATTTTATACACCCCAGCCTCGTAATTTCCCCTACGGATTGATACATCTATGGATATATGCATATATGTACAATTACTCCGTATATAAGGACTATATAACTAGCTGGAATTCCAATGTATTGGTTTCAATATGTGTTCTTTTTATGCATTATGTCGTTACATGCTCCTTAACAACCCAGTGGGTGATTCTATACAAAAAAAAAACAAAAACGACTTCACCAACTCCAACACCATCTTTCCAAAAACGCCACAGGGTGTAACCTATTCTTTTCTGTTCCATTATGTAGGACGGGCTAGCCGTCATCATCAATCGTAAAATTAGCAATGATCAAGATTAGCGGCGCCAGCCCACATTCCAAATCACATGGGCAATGTCTCGGGCTGTGTTCACAGTGTCCACAACCCGGTCCAAGATGCTACTGCTGGGGGTCTCGGTCTCTCCTTCCGGCATGATCATGCCCGAAGCAGTCAATCGGATCGGGCGATCTGATGCTGGATCATCTTCCATGAACCATGCACGATCACGATCGGGATAATTTCCCGTGAAGTCCAAGCTGGGATCTTCACATTCATCCAAAAGGAAGTTGGCCGAGGGCTCCGATGGCCGTGACGGACGTAGGGTCTCCACCGAGGGAGTTGGTGATACCGTCCGGGTGGGGGCAGGAGTGGACCATCGGTCAAGGATCGTCTGAGCGTCGGACTCGGGGGGATCCCCGCGATACTTAAGTGTGGTTGAGGGGAGGGGGCGATGGTTTTCCCATCGCCAGTGAAGCTGTTGCGTGGGGTGCTGCAGTTGCTCAGGGAGGACCGGCTGGAGATTTGCCTCATCAAGACTACACCGTCGTCAGAAGACGACTCTTCAAAAGTGGCCGGCCAATCGTCCTCGTAACCCTTGGCTTCGACCGCGATGCATTGTACGACTTCATCATTGAAGTGAATATGGCGCTGTTCGCTTGGAGATGTCATTCCGGATGATGATGAGGTAGTGAGGGTGCCACCGAGAGAGTAGGTCGAGCTTCCAGTGCGGTGATGCAAGTGATCCAAGTCTGTGTTGGACCTTGGGAATGGGGGTCGAGCCCAGTTGTTCTCGGCTTCTTGAGCCTTGAGAATGGCACCGGCATGTTGGAGTAATGTATGTTGAGAGAGGGACCGTTGGAGGATGGCCTCAGACGCGGTCTTCTTCTTCAGGATTGGCTTCCGGTCTAGATAAGAGTTTGGTGTCTCCAAGCGACTTGGAGGAGGAGATGGAGAGGTTGCACGTTCGACCGAACTTTTTAATGGGCCGTAGAGCCAGGTGACATCGCAGTCCTTCAGCCTGTTCAAAGGTTAGCGGGGGGGTGAAAGAGGAGAAGATCAATCAGATTTAATAACCTACCAATTGAGGCTTTCCGGCGATATCGTCTTCAGGTTGTGCTTGGCCTTGGCCCATGTCCTCCAAGAGGCATTCTCCAATCTCACTCCATTACTATAATCGTTCCTCCGACTTGTCACATACCGCCAGGAGGACCAGATATCCTCCTCCTTCCAGTCATGTGAAAGGTAGTCCACGTGCCTGGAGGGCTCATCCTCAATTAAGGTGTCATCTGCCGAAGGAGGCTGTAACGTCCACGCATGTGGGTGTGATTCCGTCGACGCGTCGCTTACATCCTCTGGTTCTTCGGTATTGTGAAGGGATTCTGGGTCGTAGGAGGGTAGAATGAGTTCGTTTTCCGGTGCCAGGCTGTCTAGAGTAGGCGCGTAGGCGAGTTGATCGGGGTTCAGAGTGTAATTCGGACAAGGGAGCTCCGAGGACAGATTTGATGCGACTGGGGAGGAGTCCCTCGCGTGGTAGTCATCTTGCATTGGTTTTCTGGTGATGACGTGATCTTCTAAGAAATATCGTTGCGCGGTGGGACCAGTTGGACACCGTAACGGATCCGAGAAGGGCGAATGAGTTTCGCGGGGGGTCAACAACGTCGTCATTTCCTTTCAATTATGCGATTAATGAGGTAATAGGTTGGAGGCAATAGGCCCATTCAAAGATATAGCATAACCAGATGATTGTTCACAGGGATAATATCCCAATAATAAAAGAAAAGAGGGAAGAAGAAGAGAAGGAAGAGAAAGAAGGAAAAAAAGAAAATATGAGGGAGAGGAGGGAGAGGAATAAGAGGAAGAAGTCAAAGATAGGGAAGTCAATCTGGAGGTGGAGATCTGACTGTTTCCGGTTTTCTGGGGGGAGGAACTGGGGACTGGGGGACTGGGGGGTTGATTATAGTACTAGGTTAAAGGGATAAGAAGAAAAAAAAAAAAAAAAAAAAAGCAGAACAAGTTTTATATATTCAAAAAGACGATTTAACTTAAGAATAGAAAAGAATATATATTAACATACAAAACATACAAAACATTAAAAGTTGCCACATTAAATCTATTACGTCTAGGTCTAGTCTTGTATACTAGTAACTCGACTAGTTAGCTATTAGTATACTACGTACTATAATACATAAAAGAATAATTAAAATACTAAATTCATCTAGACCGCACCATCAACCGTTCTTCTCCACCGAATATGCAAGTCGCTTTTTAGTGGGAAATGTGTTATGCGTCTGTGTGGTAGTCGATCGGGTGGAGTATTGGGATATAGATATATAACCACAAACTATACTATCTATCTATATATACTATCTCTACACTGTATTAGCAGTTATATAGAAATAGTTAAAACTGTTCAAACAAAATAACCTATAAAATGTACCATTGCCATCGGAGTATCACGGAGCTATCCGGGCTAGAGCCTATAGTCGCCCGATGCATCCATAGGGTCTGAGCACGTTAGTTTTTTAGTCTTCCAAGAGAGTCAGACCCCTTCGATCCACAGTATTTTATTTTAATTTAATTTTCAGATGGAATATTTATTTAATCAGGTCCAGATCACAGATCACAGACTAGCCGAGGCATTGAAAAAGCTGTGATACTCCGTATTTTTGTATCAGTGACACAATAGAACCAGACCATAAAAGGAAAAAGGAAAAAGGAAAAAGGAAAAAGGAAAAAAGGAAATCTTAGCCAAGATCGACCGGAGATATGAGCCGAAGCTAAAAAGCACAGATAGAGAGTAATACAAAATATGCCTTTGAAACGGTTTATAAGATAGTTAATGGCGTATATCTTTGGCTTTCAGCCATTGACATCTTTGACTTTTTCTATTTCTCCTCAATTCCTCAATTTCCCAATTCGCAAACTACTTAGGTAACCCCTAATGTTGTGCACATGCATGGACAGCTCGAGAATATGCAAAGATAGAGCTAAACATAACACAATAAAAGAATGAAAATGAAGAAAGAGAAAGCAAAAAAAGGTGTACACAGAATTGCCTTTGTCTGTGCGCTTGCGTCGACAATACCTGGGCAACCACTCACCGAGGATTGTGATGATTGGCGGACCAAAACCCTCGACATTGATTTTTCCAGGTGCAACGGTTTGATGCAAATCACAAGCCAGTGATAACCGCCCATCGCTGCATGCTACCGTGAGGTATTCGTGTTCAGGCCCTTGGACCCTTGAACTGGAAAACATGAAACTTTGTCTATCTTGTATATGGGCCATTCCGAGAGCGAATTATAAGTCCCCATGTTCTAGCCCATTGTTAAACACCTCCATCTCTCCGCGGAGGCTTAATCTGTAGCGCTAGTGCGATGCGCACCCCGGTCTATCCCCCACGGGCCTCTTGACGTTTGTCATATTCGATGCCGATCATTGGCCCCCGAACAGTATCGGTCAAAGATACCTATTCCTGCACTGCTTTGACGCATGTCGCCAACACTCACATCAGGGGCATTCAGTTCTCAGTCTCCACTAGCTTCGCGTCCAAGGATACTTGATAATGTAGCTAGTTGATGGAGACTGGTTTTTGACACCTGTCTGGATACGCAATGCGAGACAAGACAGGGATTGCAAGGTGGTAATTGACTATCTTATCAGCCATTTGCGGATCTACCTAGGTAATCGTCAAGCTGGAGCACCAATTGGCGCCTCGGGCCCCCTATCGTGAGGCGTCACAGCTGCACATCAAATGGGATCATGTCGAGTGGGGGGTTTGTCTGCATCGCCCCCGACTTTCCAGATTCAGTCAACAGTCAACAGTCAACCGAGGGATCCGGAGGAGATTGGACCCATCACACACAGCTGTTCAAGGGGAGATTAGCAAGGGGAGATTAGCAAAGATATGCAATGTTGTGTTGATGAGTGACGTTTGCCCCAATCTGAAACTTGTAAGATAAACATTTTGAGCATGTGAGAGGGCCCAATAATGAGCAATTGATCATCATATACGGAGTACCATTTGGACTTGGCTACTAAAAGCAGCAGGGGAGAGAGAGAGAGAGAGAGAGAGAGAGACCGTCATTGCACGTGATATCCCAATCCAGCTTAGCCGGCAGAACTGCCCCTCCGCCCCCGCCATATGTGTTGATTCTGGCAGGAAGAACAAAGTCTAGACCGAGATACCATTTACCAAGGTACTATTTTTCACATCATCATGGCTGAGGTAGAAACAACCCCAGCTGTACAAGCCAGACATGTTGTCTACTGTGGAGGTGAGGACCCCCGTGGCACAAACCACCACCCCAATTCGTCTGAGAATATAGCGCTGATCGAATCCCGATAGTCTGCACATTACCCCCGGAGGTATGACCTTTGAGTTCCCCCAAAGTCCCCAGTTCTCGGTCCCACCAGAAGTGAAGGGCCCAGCCCACACTCCCTTTCCCCGCTCTTGTCCTTGTTTCTTAGCTCTTATCATCCGGGCTCCGGCTTCGTCGTGCGTGGCATAGCTCCTAGCCACTAGAAGGCGCCCACTGGGCCTGCATAAATCGCTATCTGATTTATACGAGCATTGGTGATCAAACATGTTGCTGACGTGCGGGGTTCCTATCTAGTATTGCGAGTTTGGAGGTACCGCTAAGAAATGCGAAGAATGGCTCAAGGATAACGAGTCGGACCTATGGGACACATTATACTCTGAAGGTACGCAGCTTTCATGATGTTTGGCTGACTGGCTATTACCTACATCTGGCAATCCAACAGCCCGGAAATGGGAAATACCGACATTCTAACACCGGTTTTCTTTCTATTAGATGCCCTGAATGCCAACCTCTCCACCCTCTCCGTCTCAGCACAAGAACGCGCCGCCAAAGATGCCGCCAAGAAGGAGGCCAAAGCTGCTGCGAACGAGGCACGCGATAGCGAGCGCAAGGCCGCCTCCAAGATTCAGATCAAGCGTGTCGAGCGTAACAAGCGCAAGTACGTGACGGTCGTCATCGGACTGGAAGTCTTCGAGTTAGAGAACAAGAAGATCGCAAAGGATCTAGGCAAAAAGTTTGCTACAGGTTCTTCGGTGACCCGCTCGCCCGCGGGTATTGAGGAAATCACCGTTCAGGGTGATGTCAGTGATGACCTGCGTGAATGGCTCCTCGAGACCCACGGCAAGAAGATCCCCGCCTCTAATATCGAATTGATTGAAGACAAGAAGAAGAAGAAGAGCGAGGGCCCGATGGTATAATGACGAACACGAATCCTTTGCGGACTGGGTATCATGACATAAATCCAAAATAAAAGTACAAATTGAAGAAAACAAAATTCAAGCATAAACCAGAAACCCGCAACCTAGGTCGGATCGGGAATTTGGTCTAGGCCAAGGGTCCGGAGCACAAGAACAAAACAACATTTCATAATTCATCCAGCGCACTGAAAGCATCATGTTCCGCAGGTGATGCATCATGCCATGACCGGGTCGTCGAAGTCGGACCAGCCTTGTCCAGGCTGTCGTGACGATCTGCAAGGTTGGACGGATATCGAGCAGGCCCTGCATCAGGCCCTGAACTTCTTCCTCCGAGACCGAGAACCTCATCCCACGCCTCAGACTGAGGTGGCACAGAGGGCGAGAAGTGGTTCGACACTGTCAAACGTGACGACTCAGCGTGGGAAGACCAGAATTCCGGCCAGTTCTGGATGACTAGGCCGAGTACAAGCACCAACAGCGCACTTATGACAATGCCCCAGAAGATGCGTAGTCGACGACTGGTCCGGGTTTGCCATTCCGTTTCCCGCTGTTCCCAGCTATCAATCTCATGTCGTACGGTCTCGAGTCGTTTGCCTAGTTCCTCGACGCGCTGTCGGCCTGCTTTCATGCGCTGTTCTAACGCGTCGGCCATTTGGATCTGTGGCTCGAAGCCTTTTAGGTCATTGAGCTGTTTGCGGATATCCTGGTCCAACCCGGCCGTTTCGTGTTCGAAGTCGTTGAGAAGGGTTGATGCCGAGTCGGAGAGTTCCTGGAACGACGAGATAGTCGAGTTGAGGGCTGTCATTTTCCCAAGCAGATTGTAATAGGTGTAATCAAGCCGACGGGTGACATCTGTCGCTAACGTCCCAATTGATGTTAAAGCAGACCGTAGATACCTTGAAACAGCGGTTAGCCAGCCTCCTCCCTCCAAAGAAGCCAAGAAAGAAAACATACTCCTCGCCCAGTTTCCTCCGCTTCTTAACCTTCTCCAGGTCATCCATAGACAGAATCTCATGCCGGCGGATAGGCGCCAATTGCTCATGCTGCCCAGGTGTATCGAGCAGACTCCCCTTCCGACCATCCAATAGACCAGTAGTCGACTCAGACCCCCAACGGCTCCGGGTCGTCTCTCTCGTAACGGGCCTCAACAACCCATCATCGCCCTCGCGGTCCTTATCCTTCCCGCCCGACCACGTAGGGAGCAATCCCCTCGCGCTCGCCGAGGAAGCCAGATGGCTCATAGGATTAGGGAAGCGCAGTTCCCGCGACTTGCTATATTTTCGGCGGTGGGACCTCGTTCCATCAAAGAGGGATGGCTCTTGCGGTTGAGGGGATAGGGATGGACGAGCTCGAGGCTCTCCTTTTGGGGAGATTTGGCGGTCATCGGAGCCATGGCGGTGCGAGCGGCGGGACTTTCTTCGGTCCGTTTGGCGGCTTTCTTGACTACCAAATCTAGAGAAGTCCTCTGATTTGGAATGGAGGTCACTGGCTTGCTGGTTTTGGTTCGGGTTCCAGGTGGAGCTTTGGGTGGGTGGGAATGTGGCGGAGGCTGCTCGGGATGTTGAGAATGGTGCGTGTTTATATGGAGGTTCCATGACGGTACATTCTGAGAAGAAAGCTTGGGGAAGCTTGAAAGCTTGGAGGCTTGGTGTTGTTGGAGTGTGGAGTTGGGGTGGGATCGATGGCGCCAAGGCTGAAGACCGATCAGCGACTCTGCAGGTACATGGTATTAGATACAAACATATAACTAGTCCACCCTACTACCTATATTGTACTGGTCAATATGACTACGCTAATAGATTGTGACTATAGAAAAACATTTGTCTTGCTCGCTAGTAGTGACCTATGACCTAACCTCAGAAAAAACGCCTGTAATCGAACAGCCCACGCCGGAATGAGTGTCCAGCCTTTCCCGCTAGGGACAAGGAAGAAGGAAGAAGCCTCAACAAGCCGATGTATATACACACAATGCAGTCCTGGAGGAGATGGAGAGATGGTATGGCGGAGATATAGAGAAGATCGTGAATAGCTTCAAGAGCTGAGCAGCTTGTTGCGCTTCTCTCTGCGCTTGAGACGGTCGAGTCTCTTGTGGTGCATCTTCTCGGCCATCTTCTCATAACGTAGCTTCTCCTCCTTGGCTTCTCGGCGGTCCTTGATGCGCTGAATACGGGCCTGGATGGGTTTATCGGTCAGTGATACCGTCTTGGGAAGTGATGTGTTGTTGGAGATAATATCATTATTATGGAGACAGGCTGGCCAGAGATGAAGACCAGACAAAGCCACAAAAAGAATAAGGGCACCAAGACAAATCAAAAGAGAAAAGGAATAAGATCGACATACCTTCCGTTCAGCCTCGGCTTCCTCTTTCATCTCACGTTCAAGTTCCTTGACAGCATCGCTGTGCTTCTTGAGCTCTTGACGCTTAGCGTATGAAGTCAAACCCGCAGTAGGGCGGAAAGCCTTCTTGGTTCCATGCCAGTTTTTACCTAAAGGTCCGATGGGGTTAGCCGGGGAGATGAGGAACAGTAGGGAAGTGGGGACAGGGTATTATTTTTTTTTTTTTTTCCCTCACTTACCATTTTTCCGCATGCCGGTGGTCGGAGGCACAGCTGGTGTAGCCGTTGAGGTAGACATGGTAGAATATGTGACTTGGAAAAAAGTAATTCCAAGTGGAAGATTCAAGAAAGTTGGATGGGGAAAAGGGGAAACGTGAAGCCAAAAGAGAAGACGAGAAGACGGATGACCGAGTTTTTCTCATTGATTATCTCGATCTGATAAAATGTCTTGGCGCCCGGTAAAGAGAGAAAATGCTTTCTCGCCCCAATTTTTCTGACTCCACCTTTCTTCCAATTTCCCACTCGACTTCCTCCTACAGGCTGTTTTGTATTATTTATCCATATTCTTCCTGGTTTGGGCTGTGTCCTCGTTTCGTTTCTTCTCGTTAGCTTCTGCATGGTGGCTTGGCACCTTGTAGGCCCATCAAATCCCTCGTTACACCGCCCCTCCCCCCACCAGTCATCCATTTCACTCACTACTTATACCTCCGATTCCCCGTCGAACCATGATCCCTCGATAACACTCTTTTACCTTGTCATTTTCCCGATCTTACTTGATGGCGGCGACAGAGCATGCTGTCACCGTCAGTGAACCGATGGAGCTGCCATCGCTCCCACCCAATCAGGGTCTCGAGGCGATAAAGGATATCATATTTGGATCGGTAAGGAAGTCCTTGGCAAATGCAGGTGGTAGATCTAGACTGACACTCTTCCAAAGTCGGCAGGAATGGCAGGCAAACTCATCGAATACCCCTTTGACACCGTCAAGGTCCGACTACAGTCACAACCCCAACACCTTCCTCTTCGATATGCAGGACCACTGGATTGTTTCCGCCAGTCTTTCCGAGTAGATGGCTTCCGGGGACTATACAGAGGCATCAGTGCACCCATGACTGGAGCTGCGGTAGAGACTAGCTGTCTCTTCTTTAGTTATCGTCTCATCCAGGATGCCCTGCGCGCAACGGTCTACCCAGGCGTTGAACACCTACCATTCCTCGCTCTCCTTGCTAGTGGAGCTCTATCCGGCTCGGTGACCTCGCTAGCCCTCACACCTATTGAACTGGTGAAATGTAGGATGCAGGTGCCTGCGGAGTCGTCTGGCCTTAAACCCGCTGGCCCTATGACCATTATCACAAGCATTTTTCGACATGAAGGGCTAGCAGGATTCTGGCGGGGCCAGATGGGGACCTTGATCCGGGAAACTGGCGGAAGCGCAGCGTGGTTCGGCGGATACGAGGGTGTATCATCGCTCTTCCGCAATTATAACAAGCCGAACCCACAATCGACCTCCGACTCGCTCCCCATCTACCAGCAAATGATCGCAGGAGCAACAGCTGGGATCAGCTATAACTTCCTGTTCTACCCGGCCGATACAATCAAGTCTCGCATGCAGACTGTAGATATCTCACTCCTTCCGGCCCATGCTCAGCAGCAGACCTTCTGGGGCGAGACCAAGGCTCTATGGAGGCAGCAAGGGCTCAAGGGCATGTACCGCGGGTGCGGGATCACCTGCGCGCGCTCGGCACCCAGCTCAGCCTTCATTTTCACTGTTTATGAAGGATTACGACAATATTTCGGATAAAGAAAAAAAAGAGAGACTGTTACACTTCCCCCTACATATAGAAATTTGTCACCATTTTATCAATCCAACTGAGGTTGGACGATCATGTTGGCCTCCATTTTCCGTTTGAAATTTTCACATCGAACTCTTTGGATTTTGGCATCGTGCGCTATACCCCGAACATATTCAAACATGATTCTTCACTCTTCTACACCTTCTCCCATGTTCACCTCGACTTTCTCGATCAACGATCTTCAATATGGAACCCACAACCATCTATTTCGAAGATCAAGTGCCGTTTAACGCTTCTGGCTTCCCTTTCTCGATTTGTGAGGCATTGAATGGTGCTGAAACGGAGCCTGGTTGGCTTGATGTACGCCAGGCCAAGCATCTCCAGTCCAACCGATGATATTCCATCTATGGCCCTCCCTGAAGGCGTTAATAACTCGGCATTTGAATCTGGTGAACGGTAATTAGTCCGACCTTTTTCTGTCATCTTGACTTGTTTTTCTTTGTATAGAATAGAATTGAATTCAGCTGCAAATAGAATTTCCATTTCATTGTCTAACAGGGTGAATTTGATTCCTCAGTTTGGCCATTTCCATATAAATCCCTAACACCAGGTGCCCATGTGGAGTCTGAAGGTTTGTATAAGACCATGCATGACCTCCCCGGAGGCCTGAACAGGTGGACAGGGATATCTACACAGGCCGCCAGTTAGTGGGTTATTCCCTTGCCTAAAGCTTCTTGAAGAAGTCTGCATTACCACCCTTAGAAACAGAGCTGCGCCGTCGCTTATGTTGGCATATCTGCCTGCTGGACAGATTAGATCTACAAACAAGGAACAACCCTCAACCCTAACGTGTCTCGAATTGGCTATCTTCCTTCAACCAATCCTCAAATGTCTTCAAGGCAGGATTCAACTTCTTCAAAGAAGGAATATCTGCACCATATCCCTCATCATGGAACCATTGGAACATCATACCCAGCTCCTTGAAAACCGCCATCATCAACCACACCGGAATCCAATAAGTGGTCGGTACCTTCTTGCCAGTCAACTTCTTGAAGGACTCTGACATCTGATCAAACGTCAATTCATCCCCAGCAAGCGAGAATGCATGATTCTTCGATGCTTCGGGGTTCATAAATGCCGCCGCAGCAAAGAATCCAATGTCACTGGTCGCAACTAATTGCAGCGGCTTGCCCTTCAAAGACATCTGCCATGCAGTCGTAAACACCTTGCCGAGGTAATCCGGCGTGAAGTTCTCGAAGAAGGCAGCGGGTCGGAGAATCGTCCATTCCATATCGGTTCCCTTTGTTTTCTTTTTGAGATACTTCTCGATCTCGTGTTTGAAAATGAAAGGTGGGACTCGGGTTGGGTTTTGATCTGATCTCTCGCCGCCGCGGTCGACGGAGCTGTATACGAAGTACTTGACGCCTTGTTTGATGGACTCATCTATCATAGCGATTCCTTGGCGTCTTTCGTCGTCGTTTCTAGGATTGGCGGTCTGTTTATTGGTCCATCAGGGATCTATCGTTGGGATATTGTTTTTCTGAGGGCTTACTTGGACACTGAACACGCCCCAAACTGGGGATGAGATTTGATGCTTTACATTCTCGAAGATGGCAGCCGGGTCGTCGAGGTTGCCTTGGATCAATGTGATACTGGGAGACTTCTGAGTGAGTTTCTTTGCTAAGGCAGAATTGACATCGCGAGTGACGGCGAGGATCTTGAAAGGGGCACTTTTCTCCAGAAGATTCTTGACCACGGAGCCTCCTTGTTTTCCTGTGGCTCCGGTGATGAGAACTGTGGTCATTGTAGGATTTAATTCTAAGAGTACGGTATAACAGGATATCCTTCTTCGATAGTCCGTTTCAATCCCGTTCCTGACAACAAATGGTTTCTTAAGATCTTTCTAAGAGGTCGAGTTGCCTTGGGATACCCCGGATTTGATATGGATGACGTCAGCTATCTACCACATATCCAAGGCATCCAACTCATATCAAAAGGTATCCAACTCGTCCACCTGAGCAAGACATAAGATATAACATATAAACAGTCACATCGTATTATTCACGGCAATAATACTCATCCCCCTATGAACTTCTGTATCGGCAGCATGTAAAAACTCCCTTACCGTCATATCCAACCCTTCTTCTCCCAACAAATCCCCTTCCAATTCACCTCGCAATAATGGTCCATTCATACCTCCATTCAACTCCCAAACCTTCCCATCTTTCTTAACAAAAGCAATAAAATGAAACCCACATTCCTCCTGCGGCAACGGTACAATTGAGCACCCTTCCGATGCCGCATCCATATGCGCCTCTTCCAAAAACCTCGAATCATACAACAGTTGCGCCCTCTCTACCGGCCCCAACCCGACTGCGCTCTTCACAATCTTCTCCAACTCCGATCCGGCCAGGACATATTTCCCATTCTCCAAATTGATAACCACATGTAGCAATGCCATCAGTCCGCATGCATGTCCGATCGTCTGTTTCATCCACAGTACCGGTTCGTCGGCCCCGCTGCCGAGATACTCGGGTATGCTGTGTTCGACGCCAGACCGCGCGGCGAGGTAGATGGGTTTGTCGCAGAGGAGGATGAGGGCGTTTACGGGTCGTGGGATCCAGGAGAGCATTTCTGGGGTGGTGCAGAGGATATCATGGAAGGTGAGGCTCGGGGATACTCCGAGGTTCTTACATAGATGTGTGTGGACCTCTGGGTTGTTCTCTGTTGTATTGATGAGATTGGTTCTAGTTCTGGTTCTTGTATCTGGGGGTGGAAGGGAATGATGGTCTTACCTAGTGGTATAAAGGTCTTTTGGCCATTGATGACCTGCACGCCTAGATTAAACATGTTTGGCAATGACAAGGCTGATTCTCTTATTTACTTGAACACTTTGAAGATCGTATGTTTTGGTATAAAGCGGGGGGAGCAACAGTGCTTAGTCATTGTCCACCTTCAGCCTATTTAGGAACATCCAATGTCCAACAAAAGCGACTCTATTTCGGAGGGAATATCTGTGAGATATCTGGTTGTTATGGGATTAGATGGATCTAGCATGCCATATCAAGTGGTATTTGATATATTCTGAGATTATCTGAGTGTGATATCTCATACTTTTGGTAGTGTAGCACATATGTACTACTATTTAGGGTTATTCTATATCAGAGTCATATACAACATACGGAGTAGATGGACCAGATGAACCCTCTCTAACTTCACATCTTTAGTGGAATAGATTTATATTATTATCATCTAAAAATAGTCCATATACCTATAACCCCATAGTCCCATACATAACCCATACATAATCCACCTATCGCCTATCGGCGGATAAAAAACTTCCCCTCATCTCCCCTCATCTTCCTCCAACATCTCTCTCTCTCTCTCTCTCTCACGCGACATCAGAATGACTACCCTCACAGCCCAGGAGCTAACAACTCTCTCCACCAAGGCCATTGACGCCAAAGCCACTGCCTACTGTATGACCCTTTCCCTTTCCCTTTCCTTCGGAGTAGCACACAACACCAGATATCCAGTTCCAAGCAACTACAAGAACACCAAACTAACACCCTCCAAGGCCCATACTCTAAATTCCGTGTCGGGGCATGCATCCTCACCACATCGGGTGAGTTCATCTCCGGTGCGAATATCGAAAATGCTGCCTACCCAGCTGGAACCTGCGCTGAGCGCGTGACCATCGGCACTGCTGTTGTATGTTCTGTTCTACCTTCTCTTTCCTGGCCTACTTTGATTCGTTGTCTATCATTGTCATTGCTATATTATACCCGACCATCTTTGGACCTTGGCTAACTCTCACAGGTCGCCGGCCACAAAGATTTCAAGGCTTTGGCTGTCGCGACTGATATCAAGCCTCCTGCGTCGCCTTGTGGGATGTGTAGACAATTGTGGGTTTTCTCTTCTTCTTCTTCTTCTTCTTCTTCTTCTTCTTCTTCTTCTTCTTCTTCTTCTTCTTCTTCTTCTTCTTCTTCTTTCTCTCCTTTTTTGATTAACTCATTGGATACAGCATTCGCGAGTTCACCTCGCCTACTTTCCCGGTGTACATGTACGACGGGGAGGGAAATTACATAGTTATGACTATGGAGGAGGTGAGTTTCTTCTCTTTCTTTTTTTGGATATATATATTATAACTCTTGGATTCTGTTCTAATAAACCCAGTTGCTGCCCAACTCTTTCGGTCCCGAACATCTCGAATAGGGATAGAGATAGGTTTGTCTGCATCAGAGAAAGGAGAGGGTGGGAGTTGGAGTACTGGACATGCATTGAACGGAGTCTGATATCCAGTGGAGATTAAATATATTTACAGTTTGTTCGAGGAAATGTATTCAGAAAGATCAAATTTACTGTATTCAGTAGGGGATATATACCCCATAGCCCTAAAGCCTCTACATATAAAAAGCCAAGGGCTATAGCCACAACGTACACAAACCAACATAGAACCCGGAAAGAAATATAATAAATGGCACGCTCATAATGTTGCAAGAGTCAAACCCCCAAAAGATCATTTCCAACTGGAAGCCACAAAAGAAAAAAGGCAGTTATATCAAAATTTCCAATACTAAAAACCATAACCTGAATCCCCCAACCCAAAGCCTAAGCCTGCTCCTCCTCATCATCAAAATCATCAGCTCCAAGCAACTCATCCTCATCATCCACAACAGAAGAATAATCCCCCCTCCGCGCCGCAAACGACCCACGCGTAGCATAAGGTCTCTGCGCGCCCCGTCTTCCAAATAACCCAGACGTGCTCCGCGCAAAACTCTTAGCAAGTAACGGCAGAGACTGCGCAATGGCAACAATACCCGCAATAATCGCCACGGGCACCGCGACCAGCACAGAGTCCCTGGATAACCAGCTCTGCGACGAGACGCCGTTATCGCCCAGTCGGATCTGGCCGAATTTGCCGTCCCAGTGCGTGTACGCGTACCAGCCGATGGCGACGGCGACGGCGATGGGTGTCACAATAGCGAAGAATAGACCTGTTCCGCTGATACCGTGCTTCTTTTGGTATTCTTCTTCTTTGTTTGGGCATGGTCTTGACACGTCTTGGTCCAGGAGGAGGCCGCCCTGGCAGGTTGTTTGCGGGATTCGGCGGTAGCCGGTGGGTTCCCAGTATTCGACCTTATCGGGGTCTTGGCTACATTGTGCGATGTGGTCTTGGGGTTGGAGACCTGGCACGAGGCCGCAGCTGCCGTCGGTTTGCATTTCGTAGTTGTAGTCACTGGTTCGTGTTAGTTGGTAGTTCGCAATTGGGATAGGTGGTTGGGGTGATTGTTTTGCTTACCATTCGAAATCAGTACGGGTGCAAGTGCAGTTCCGGCCAATGCTGTGGATGTGTGGTTCACGCCAGGCATTCCAGCACTCAGCGGCAGGTTTCTTGCGGTGGTACTCCTCGACATGGCCAAAGAGACAGTTCTCTTCTTGGAAGGGATGACTGGGGGACCAGTTATAGTAATCATTTTCATCGTCTTCACAGTCGCGGCTCCAAATACCGCTGAAGTCAAGTGTGATGGTGACGCGCTTGCCCCCGTCCGTGCCCCAGAGCAGGAAGTTTTTAGATGTGTCAGATGGCACGGTGGAGATATCGTCGATGACCATTTCCTTTTCGGCGAATTGGAACTTGTGCCAGCTCATGCCCTCGTCGAGCGTGTAGTGGACGAACTTGGTTGCCTTGCGGTCGTTGACAAGCACGATTACCGAGCCTGCCGCGCCGAATTCCCACATGTACTGTCCCTTCTTGACTTGCGTCCAGGTAATACCGCCGTCCCTGGTGAGGTACGTGTCGGCCTCGCTTGCGCTGGTGAGATGCTCACCGACGTTGCCGAGCGCGAGCATCAGGCCAATGGCGGAGCCCGAATAGAGGGTGTCGCGGTAATCGCGACGTTCGGTGTAGCCGTGGAAATGGAGAGCGCACTTCTCAGTGCCTCTGCTCTCCGTAACGGAGCAGCCGAACTTCTTGCCATCGACATCTTGAGTCGGGGGAGCCAGAAGCATCCACTCACCGCCGTCATTGTGGGTGATCATAGTGCGTAGCTTCTTTGCCGCGCCCTTGTTCAGCACCTCTTCCCGATTCGAAACCACATTGGCAATGGCCACGCCCTCGAGGCCTTGCAACTCATCGTAGTCCGTGTAGCCGCGGTCATTGACGTTGAGCCCCTCCAGACTCTGGACGAAGTAGGTGCCGTTGCTGTTACTCTTGACAAGGGAGCCGAAGCTGCGTTCATTTCCACCATTCACTATCACAAGGAGGAACAATGCATGCGGGGAGCTAGGTAGGACGGTATACTGAGGGACCTTGATGTTGAAAGGGAAGTGTGCATCGGCGTAAGTGCGGCCGTCAACGCTAACACTGGCATTGAGGTATTCCTTCTGGTCTCCTTCGTACCAGGCGACGACAACGAAACCATTCTTGGTAGCGGAGCGGGCGATGTTCTCAAAATTGACTTCCATGGTAGAGAAATGATCATCACTGGTGACCAACTGCCGGTTGTTGTTCTTTTCCTCATCTTTATACTGTTCGCAAATCACCAGTTTGTCACTGTTGTTGCGGCCCTCGTGATATCCGAAGTTACAACCGCCGCCGGCGACTCCAATCAGCATCGGGTCCCAGCTAGCGCCTCGCTTGTCGGTGACGTATGCCTGCGAGCGACAGTTCGTCCCCTCGCAGTCCTTGTGACCAATCCAAATAAGGGTGTCCTGGAACTTCTCATGGAAAGCGAGCGCGCGGATGTCCTCCTTGTTCGGCACACTGGGAGCCTCAAAGAAGTGGAAAGAATCACCGTGATTGATAGTGTAGTACACCCTCTTGCTGTCAGTGAGGAAGAAAGCCGCATCACTGAAGTAAGGATGCTGAACCATTTCCGTAAACTTCTCATCCGGATGGATTTGCTTCCAATTGCGGCCATGGTCGCGCGAGATATGCAGCTCGTATTTGTCCGTGAGCATCATGACAGTCTCATCAACGCCGTTGTTACTGGCCTGGCGTTCGAGATAGAAGTAGCTTGTATGCTTGGCAGAAATGGTCTGAGGCTTTTCCGCACGAGGCTTGCCATCGGTGATGGGAGGAGGCCCCGTGACATTCGAGCAGGAGCGTTCAATCTGGCGGTCGAGATCTTCGCCGCCTTTGCGGACGCATGCATTGCCGGGGATGAGTCGCCATCCAGAGGGGCCTATGTACTTATCGCTGGGCTCATTGCACTTTCCAGCCGGGGGTGTCAGCGGGACAGCCGGTAGACACTCCTTACGATCCTCGCTGCGAATAAAGTTGTAGTCACATTCAAAGTCCTCAGCGGAACACTTGCAGGGTTGGAATTCAGGGCCGCTGATGGCGAACTCCTTCTTGATGAAACAATCTGCGTTTGCCTTGCGGCGCTGGAAGAACTGTTTCTGACCCATCAGACAATCCGGCTCGCCCTTTTCATTTAAACGGGCAGTCCACTTTTCAAGATCATCAGAGCCACACTGGCGCTCGTGGAGGCCATCGAAGTCAATGAAATACATAAGGACTTTGGTGTCATCGCTGGAGATACCAACGAGCAGGAACTTGAGACTGGTGGAATCCGGGGTCGAGATCAGATACAGAGGCTTGATCTTCTGCTTCAGATCAATCGACTCCCACTCTTTCCCGTGATCGATAGAAAATTGGACATTGTCCGTCTTGCTGCCATCCATGACAGCCATGATTACACCTCCCTGGTCGCCAAACTCGTACCGGTGCGGGCCCTTGAGCGCGCGCCGCCATGTAAGACCTGCGTTGTCGGAAACATAGAGATCACCCTTGGAGTAGTCCTCAAGGTGACCTCCAGTGTTACCAACGCCCATGACTAAGCCGGGAGCCGGGCTTGAGAACATCCGGTGATCTGGCATGGGCATCTCGCGCAGCGCGGCGTAGGTGGTCATCGAATGGAGGTGTAGCGCATCTTTATCCACCTTAAGAGGTTGGAAGGTTCTCCCATCGTCAAAACTGATACTGGTGATAAGCTTCTTTTTATTCGAGTCAGACTTCTCAGCTTCCTCCCAGTTCTTGACCGTGTTGACAATCGTGATACCATGGATACCCGTGACTCTCTCAAAATCGACCAAGCCATTCAGGTCCTCGTTTGTATGCTCAATATTTTGTGTAAAGTAGGTGCCATTGGAGTTGGACGAGAAGAGACGTCCCATCCGGTTATCATGCCAGGTAGTTTGCACGTCGATTTGGATGCTGTAGTTGGTGCTTTCTAAGATAGTATAGGCATCCTCTTCAATGCGGTGGTTGCCAAATTCCGCGCGGTGCCACACATTCGAGTCATCACTGACGTACAAAGCCTGTTCCTGGGTACCGCGGGATTGAAGGCGCGCCACGATGTACTTGGACACAGAGCGGATCTGGAGACTGATCCCACTCAGTGGTTTTCCGTGGTCCAATTTCGCCTCGGTGCCCTCCACATCATCTTTGAAAAACTTCTCGGAATATATCAATCGCTCGGTCCGGGTATTCTCGAACGGCCCCTTCAACCCAGGGACCACACAGAGGATCCGGTTTTCCGTCGATTCCGGCATGTCTATATCCAACGCGAACTGCGGTCGGCTCACGGCCCACATACACTGAAGCGTCATCCCGCGCAAGGGCTGGATGTTCTCGAAGTCGTCGACGGTATAATACGCTTGGGGCATGCAGCCAAGTATGGTACAGTCCAGACCCATGAAGATAACCTTCTTCGGATCCCGGCCGTGGAACTCCAATGGGAATGAGCGCATTGACGCGAACGGCATCACATCCACCTGGAAGGGTTTCCATGACTTGGCCTGGTCAGCCGTAATCCAGTGCTTGCCATTCTCGCCGAGTATGTACGCGCGGTTGTCGTCAAATGGATGTTTCCAGATCAACTCGACGGTGCCTTCTATGGTTCCATCCTTGCCCTTGACGGTCTCCCATTTCTCACCACCATCAAAGGAGACATGCGCGGTGAGGGAACTCTTGTCACGGTAAAGGATGGTGTTTGTGCCGCGGAAGTAGAATAGGTCTGAGGGCGGAGCGTCGAGTTCATGGGTCACGATGTTCGGTTCGTTTCCCTTTGCCGCTGCTGTCTGCGATGTCCATACCAGCAGCAGGCTCAGTGTGAGCAGCAGCCACCGTGGGATCATGACCGGTGCTGCGTAAACATCTGATGGGGTGTGTGGGTGGGAGCTTGAGCGGACCGGACCGGGAATACGGGGTCAATCGATTGAGGGAGGGAATGTGAAGTTGCTAGAAAAGAGATAATGGTTAGATGCCAGAAATGAATGAACAGGCAGATAGAAATGTGAGTTAAGATAGTGATAGTGATGACGGAGCTGCGTGGCCTCTGCCTTTTGGATTGAAGCTCCTTGTCACGTGAATATTCTTATCGGACCTATCGACTGGACCATGGTTTATGAAGGAGCCTACTGCCAGCCAACCATGGATCATACTACACAATTAGGACTAGACTGTGAGTGTGTTTATGTGTTCATGTGTTGAAGATGAATGGATTGACATCAAGCAGCTACCTATGTTGTAGGTAGTTATATGTACAAAAACACTACTAAATAGATACATGAAAAAAAAAAAAAGATTTTGTCAAGGAACCCCAATGTAGAAAAGAAAACATCGCTCAAAATGCAAGGATTGAATATCCTGAAAAGACATTCAGAATGGTATAGAACGAAATTAGGGCTCGTGACAAAACAAACAAGATACAACACGCTGGGGGGTTGGAAGTAAAAACGAGGGATATTAAAGAAAAGGAATGGAAGTCAATCGAAGTCGATCGGGATATTTCAACATTTGAAATCAAACTCGGCGTCGGAGCTTACGCCACATCTTCTTCACCATCCCTTGATCGTCCAAGTCGGAGTTCCAGATCGACTGGCTGCGATCCGCAGGTGGAAGTGCAGCCAATCGCAAGGGATCTTCCTTTTCTTTGGAAGAAGCAGGAGGGGTGGGAGAATCGGTGCGGAGGTCGGGTCGAGTGAGGGTCATTTTGAGTGTCATCTCACGGTTTCCCGGAAGCCGTTGTGGGACTCCCTTGGCCCCAGGCATCCAGGATTGGCGTCGCTGCAAGAGGGCCGATGATTCCATCGAGGGTCGGGGCCCATCCCGGTGTGTGAACACGGGCGAAGGGATTGGTTCATTTTCTACCGATCCCCCTGGGCTCCCCACCATCGTGCCATCGTCATCTTCGAAGAATGTGCCAAAGTCCGAATTGACCAGGGTGGGTATCGGTGAACTTTGTTGTGGTGTGATTGGTTCTGGGTCGATATTCTCCTTATTTTGATCCAGCGAGGGAAATCCGAACTCAATGGCTTCGTCGAACTTTTGTGGGGATGCCAGGTATACGCGCAGTTTCAAACGGGCATCGGGGTCTTGGTAGTATTGTGCACAGGGGTCAATGCTCGAGGTGGATGATTTCGGAATATGTTGGAATCGTTGGCTGGATGATGGGCGCGATTCGGGGGTTTGGTTGGAGAGAGGGGTGACAGGCTGAGATCGGTTGACAGGCGGGAGTCCCCGAGCTGAAACGGGGGTGATTTCTAATGTTTTGCGAAGATGGTTGGAAAATGATAAGGAGCGACGGAAAGAGGGGCGGGTTCTCTTTTTTGTGGCAGCATCTGCCACATGAGCGTGGTATTCATCGAGAGACAAATCTAGATCGCCATCCTCGTCGAGCCACCGGAAACTGTCATGGAATGTTTCATCCATGTTTGGATCTTCTTCATCCGATTCGGAGTCCGAATAAAAAACGGTCGATGGCTGAACAAAAGACACAGTTGTCTGGGAGGGGTGAGTGTCGGTGGAAGGGCGAGAGTTCCCAGAATCTCGACGGTAAGCTTCGTCGGCAGCGTCGTAGATGAGACTTTGTCGATAGGCGTTCCTCAAACGTCTCCGTTCTTCGGGGAAAAAAGCTTTTGTTGGATCTTAGCGGGGAGAGTATGGAAGCACTGAGAGTCCGCCTGGGCGGCCAGGTAGGCCAATTGAAGAGAACCGGATTTGCGTAATTTTTTGGAAGGAGAAGCACGCTTCTCGAGCCCTCGCTTCCTTGATCCGTTCCGTAAACCACGCGAGTGATAGTGAGACCCAAAACGAGGGGTTCGATAGACCCGATTCTCGGTCTGATGATTTGACGTCGAGCACGTAGGGGAACCGTGATCGCTCTGAGCTAGCCGAATCCGCAACCGCTCGACATTCGAGAAGAACTGTTTCAATTAGCTGTGGACATTCAACAGCAATAGGATAGGCAATATGGAGGGATAAAGTGGAGCAGACAATATATCCCATGCGCTAACATTGGCCGATATCGCCAGACAAATGGCGCCACAGACGATAGTGCGGGTTGTCAGCCTCCACCGAGGGGCTCAGGGGTAAATCACAGTCGATGACCGAGTAAGGGCAGACAAAGAAAAGGATAAAAATGGAGAAAACGGGCAAATCAGGCTTAATTGGGTTAAGATGATCCTGTGGAGGGAAACTATTGGGGGAGGGAAATGAGAAGTCCGAGCGAGTGACGGTGAGGCACTAAGGGAGTGATGGGATATGAAGGAGGAAATGAGTGTGAACCCTTACCTTTCTTCGTACTGCTGGAGGCAGCGACTCAAAGTCCTCTGACATTGTGAATAGAAAGAAATAATCAAAATGACAGGCAATAGTAGAGTAATAGGAGGTGGTAGTGGTAGTACTAGTTGTTGTAAAGAGCAATAATAGCAATAACAGCAATCACATCCCAATAGAATATCCAAAATAGAAAATTAAGAGAAAAAAAACAAAGAAGAAGGCGATGCAATATATATCTAGTAGGAAATGAATATCTTTAAACGCTTTGATCTGTGACAAGATGCTGTACATTAGCGCCCTTGTGATTGTGATACTTCTATTTCCAGATCTTAGTTACCTCGAATGGAGTATACTTCCTTTCATTCTATACAACATACTACACTATATACCCCTCTTATATGATCTATCATGAACCCCTCTATTAATGTCTGTGAACACATCAGAACCTAAAATCCAAACGAACTCTTGATCGATACTTCCTACGAACCATGTGAATAATCCATTCCCATTTCCATTTCCCCCATTACCCATTACCCAACATTGCCAAGTCACCAAGTCGCTACGCGCATCATTTTGACGTGGCCCAGTAAGGGAACCAGTTTCAGCTCCACTTAGATCGCTGATTTTCGGTCTGAAACACACTCTAGATCGCGGAGGATTTGGAAATTTAGAAATTGTACGGAGTACTCCGTAAAACGGTGAAGCCTTTGTGCTCTTCCCTGTTCCCTGTCTATTTTCTCAATATTAAGTACTAACAAACTGTCGCGGAACTAACGGTTGGAGGATCGAAAGATACGAGAATGACATCCCTGCGGGGGAGAAAGTTGATGTATCAACTCTGTCAACGTCCAATGAGAACGGATGGTTGGAGTGTCCACTTGAACAAAGAACAGTTACTATTTGGGCTGGATTTGACGGGATATTAATTAATTACGGAGTACTCTAGAGTATTCTATAGTACTCTATCGCCAATACTAATATAACTAATTAACTCAACTAGTAAACCGTTACACTACTTCGTACCTGACAGCTCCGATCATTTTTAAACCGGAATGATACAACATATATAACAAACCCAGTTAAATTAAATTCCCTTGATAGTCTAAACTGTAATCCGGAGATTACAAGGAGCCAATGACTTGCTTTTGTTGGATTGAATTGAAGAGTACAACATATGTTGTATGTACAACTGTTGTACTATAATATACAAATTATATACGGAGTACGGAGTACATATCTCAGTGATCGGCTATTGTTCCGACAATCGCACTTGCATACGGAGTACATACACATGATCTACACTAAAATTGATTGCAATCTAATAAAATACTGGCAATATGGAGTATATGTCTATTTTGTAGGGCATGACCTGTAAAATCAACAATGTTGGTAACACATCCACCCAAGTATCTCCGTAGGAATCAATGGCTGAAAAAAAGGGAGAAACAAAAGGAAGAAACAAAAGAAATCCTTGAGCATTCCTATTCTAGATTAATCCAAATCCCTTTTCTCCTTGCATCGGGCTAATGCATATGACTTCAATTACATGAGACAAACGAGGAGGTTCTCCTTCCAGAACTCGTGGCATGTCGAAGCATGCGAACTCGGGCTTTTAGCTGTGATATATCACCTGCAAGTGCTATCTTCTATTTGTGGAAGCAAACGCGTGGGATGTTCACCGCTGATACTGTAGGGAGTATCTCTTCCTGTGAGCTTCAAAGAATACGAGGTGTTTGATGCAAGTGTCCGTGTTGGCCATGCAGTCCACCCTGGCCATACTCTCTACTTCAGACCCCTGTCAGGGGATTGTAGTGTGAAGTACGGAGTAACCAATGATACTTAATCCAGCTATGTTGTAGATTGAACTAGAGAACATCATAGGAGGCTTGTATTATCTCTCGCTCTGGTTGTATAATAGTTATGAGTCGAGCGAAGGATAGTTGAGAGATCGTCATCGCATTCGTCGTTGATCATATCAAATGAAGGTTTCCAATACTTCGTATATACTCCGTAGATATATTAATTTTACAAGCAGTACTCCGTAAATGAAGAGTCACATCGAATTATTTGGCATCCAAGTGCATATATATATATGCACTACTATGTTATATGTACAGGTACTCCGTACATCTTTTTATTAAACACAAATCTATAACACCCACTTTGTACTCCGTATTTTCAATCTCATCCACCTTTCTCATCCTCCCCCGTCACCTTCTTCTTCCCAGTCTGAACCTTCGTAAGCGTCAACTTCCTCCCAATACCCCTACCCAGCATACCACCCTCAAGCGGAATAACATCATCCTCAACCGATGTCCTCCTCGAGTTCGAGTCTTTCTCCAGACTAAGTAACACCTCAACTGCATCCCGGTCCTCAATAACCTTCGGATGCCGCTGCGCAAAGTAACGCGCATACTTGTACAGCGACCAGTAGCAGCTGAACACGTTGACGACCGTCAACGCGATCTTGTAGAACGTGTAGTAGAACAACAGAACTTTCCAGTCGATGCGCTCTTTCTTTAATCGGAGGTGAATCTCGTTGAAGATTATCACGTTGAGGATGTACATCGCAATCGTGACGCCGAGAAGCATTCCACAGAATGAGGGACGGACTATGAATGAGATTGGGAGGATGAAGGGGGCGAGGAGATAGATGAGGGTTTCATAGACCTGTTAGGGTCAGGGTTAGCGTATGTAACTTTAACTTTGACCTTGACCTCAACATCGACATCGAGATCGACATCTGCATGTTTCATCAAATGTCAAAGATAGTATGGATGGATGTGCTTATCATACCTCTTGGAAAACACACAACTTCGCACCAAACTCCCACCAGCCCAGCTTCCAGCTAGTCAAGATATACTTCAAATCGTAGTACACACCAACAACGAAAAAGAAATTCCACCGCTTAAACCGCTGCTGGAAGATAGTCATTTCACCGAATCCACCACGACTACCCCCAGAACCACTCCAGAACACCGAAGCCGGCGTTTCAGTTTCGACAAAGACCTGCGAACACATTGTAATGCGTCCACCCAGACGCCGGCAGGCATCGCCGAAGAACCAATCCTCGGACACGGAGAACCCGGGATGTTCATGGAAGGTCTGTTTTAAGAACTCGATATTCCAGAGCGAAATAGCTCCGTGTGGGAATGTCGCACTTCCGAATTTCCCGAAGAAGGCACGCTGGATACCGGACATTTTATATTCGAGGTCCTGCGCTTGTTGGCAGTATGTACCCTTTGAGGAATTGGGGCCGACACTTTTAATTGTGTATCCGATGCATTTGACGTTCTTTTTGAGTCTGTCGCTGACAATTGGGAAGTTTGGGGGCAGGAGGCAGTCGTCGTCGATTAGGACGGCATTTTCAAAGTCTTTGGCTGCGTAGCAGCCGACAAACTGTGCCACGATCTTCGAGCCGATGGGTACCCAGAGGTGATGTACGCCGTAGGGTTTGCAGACTTCTTCTGTGTTATCGAGAGGTGTTTTGGAGTTGCCATTTGCTATGACGAAGATGTTTTCTTTCGGGAAGATTTTCAAAGCGGCTTCGATAGTCGCCCCGACGATTGTTGCTGATTTATAGCAGGGGATGAGGAGAGCAGTTGATTTTACCTTGGACATGTTGCTTTCCAAGTCTGGAGATTCGGATTCAGAGTCCGCAGCCGGAGGATCTTTCTCGAAGAGGATCATCAGGGGACAGAATGCGTATCTAGTCCTTGTTAGGGCAAGAAAGTTGGAGTCTCGAGAAGCCACTTACAGGGCAGCAAGACCAATGATAATGGCGTATCCTCCTTGGATAACGAACTTGGTTCGGACAACATAGTACAGCCACCAGACAGCACCTTTCCACAGTGGCATCCCGACGAGGACGAAGTAGACAAACAGAACGAGGAATGCATAGATGCTGTATTCAAACAATAGCCGCACCCAATGCTTTCGTTGGATGGCAACTCCTCTCAATTTGGCCTTTTCATAGACTTCTTGCAAGTTGCTCTGCTCGCTGCTGATTGTCTGGGAGCTGGCGTTGCTGGGTGGTTGGGGACGGAGAAATGCATTCTCAACTGGCGTTATTGGTCCTTTCTCAGAGATTGGAGAGGGAGGCTCGAATGTGGTGGGCTTTGCATAGTAGTCGAGATTACCTGGAGAATGAGATAGGATTAGCTTGATGTATATAAGATGGTGGCATCAATTTTGATATGGTCTCTCAAGACATTCTACAAGTCTCTGCCATAGATATGGGATATCAATATCATACCCTGAAAAGCAGTAGGCTCACTGCGTCCACGGGACCGAATTGCAGTATTTGGTCTTGCTACCGATCTCAGAGCAGAAAGACTCAGTGGACGATTGGAAGAAGTGCGAACCTCTGGAAATGATATACGATTGTTGTCAGGGAGGGACTGTTCCCATCGAGCCAATTCCCAGGGCGAGTTGAATTTGGCAGTCGTGAGTAGTTCTTTGGGAATAAAAACATCTTCCACAATGGACTTTCTAGGGTTTTCTTCAGCCATTGCGGGTTATATATTCAATTTGCAACCATAAACGAGGGTATAGTAGTCAGAATGAAGGGACGGCAACCTGAGGTCACCAGTAAAAGAGTGAATATCTCGCTACAAAAAAAAAAGGGACTTGAGGAAGGTGTTTCTTTTATTTATGATTGAAATATCCCTCTAAACCAAGATCTCTATGGAGTAAATCTCTTTGCCCAAGACTGTGGGCCAAGGTTGAGTGGCGTCTCCCTAGGGCATACTAGTACAGCTGAGACCTGAGAGAACTTGGAAAGGAAATGAGGATGTTGATAGTTGCAATTACAGTATCATTATTCTAGGTCTAAGATGAGTTACTACGAGTATATGTGATATAGTAGCATGCCAACCACCATGGGTCTATATGTCTACATGTACGACGCGTTGCCATGTCTTTTCTGAGATTTCTGAGATGCAGGGACCATGAAACCTCGCACAAGAAGAACATAAAAATGGGGATAGCTAAGAATAAACCAATGCGGGTCGTGGATTGTGTTCTTTACGCCCTGGGCCTACCACGGGCCAAGTGAA